AAAAGGCAAAGTTGTATTTGGACAAAGACATGGTTGAGCAAACGTGGCTACTGCGTTCTGTCGATTTTACAGAAAGAACTCCATTTCACTTTTTGCACCCTTGCCATATTTCTGTGTTTACATCTGATAGGAAGAAGAAGAAGAAGAATCCCAGTTTGTGCATGTCCACTGAGCGATTTGCCCACATCAGCAGACTGAATTTCAAACATTTTTGATTTTTTCCCCAACCTCACTATTCCTGATCTGGAGGTGGTCCTGAGAGCCTCATTAACCCCTGTAAACTACATGACGCACGATCAGGCTGAAAGTCGGCCCGATTGAAAAATTCGGCCTGAAAAGGCCAAAAAAATTGTACAGTGTATGCCCGGCTTTATGTGTTGTCTTCTCAATTCAGAGGGCCCCATGCCTGCCTTTGCCTAGGGCCACAAATTTCCTAAATCTGCCCCTGCATGCACCTTTTCTTCCTTAGATACCTTCTTCTTCTTTTTTACTATTTGAGCTGATGTAAGGAGTACATTTCTCCACTGTGAGATCAATAAAGTCAACCAATAAATCAGTTGTTTGGTACTTTGTATTTCAATATTCATTAAAAGAGTTTCCTTCTATTACATCCTCTGATTTTTTTATATTAGTCTAACAAGTATTTTGCATGCTTTGCTAAACTTCAATCAGTTTAAACTCATGAATTTCTCTCAGGGCAACTAAATATTTCACTCACATGCTGTATTTCCCCAGGTGAACTGCTTCCAGCACACTGGGATGTATGAATATGTATATCCAGTCTATACCGCTGTTATTCGGTGTATAAACAATTAGATGCCACTTTCATCTTTTTTTCACAGTAGGTGATCACTTTTAATATTTTAATTTCTTGTTGCATTTAAATATTAATCAAGGCAACCCGAAATGTTATTTGCTTTATTTTGAAAAAGCTCATTTGAGTCCACACCTTGAACATAAGCGCCATCTGGCGTCTCTTTATAGGTCCTGCAGGATATAATAAACCAACACACAGAAGGAAAGACTTTTTATTATAATCCTATTCAGGGGAATATGCTGTTATTCAGCTGCTACACATCATTTTAACTTTTTTTTTTTTTTTATGTTATTTAAAAAAATGAAAAAAATAAATTACAGTGTTGTTTCAAACTAAATAAATAGGTTAGGAAAAAGTTTGGATTCAGGGCCTCCTCATACGGATAATTTACCCTTCGGTGGAAGTATTTAATTTAAAAACGTCCTATATTCATCTTCTAATATCATTCTTAGGAAACTTTTCCCCTCTTCTTATTTTCAGCTGTGAGATAAATTTAAAATATATCCAGATCTGGGCTTTGAATCAGTTCAGGAGTTTCCATTTCTTGACTTTTAGCCAGTCTCTGATGTATTTGCTGGTATTTTTGTGAACAACATCATGTTGCAGTGTCCAGATCTGCTTCATCTTTATCATTTTCAGAGATGGTGCCAGTTTTTGTCCAACAACTAATGATACAGAGCAGAATTCATGATGGGTTTCTATGTTGGTAAGCTGGCCTGAGGCTCTTTTCCTAGAAGGCTATGTTTAGTCTAAACCAGGCATGTCCAAAGTTGGTCCTCGGAGGCCGCTGTCCTGCAGGATTTGGAGGTTTTCCTGCTTCAGCACAGATGACTTTGATGATTTAAGTTCAGCAAAAGCCTGTTAATCAGCTATCAGTGGAAATTAGCTTTACTGAAGCAGGGAAACCTTTAAAACTTGCAGGACAGCGGCCCTCAAGAGCCGACTTTGGACATGCCTGGTCTAGGCCAAACGTCCCTTGTTATGGAAATAGAATTCAGTTTTAGTTATTCAAAGAAAATAATTTGAGAAATCCTGCGCTTTGTTTTTGACCAATTATCTCTCTGGCAAACTTAAGTCTGACCTTTGTGGTTTAATTTGAGACTATGTGTCAGGTCCTGTTGGCAACATTATGGTTTTGTTTTGGTTCTACATGGTTTGCCATTTTAGTTCAGTTCATTTCTTGTTGCCAGATGTTTTCCTGTTTGTTTTTCTTGCATGTTTCTTATTTATTTTTTGGCTTGTTCTTTAAAGGATTAATTCAAGTTTTTGGACATGAAGTTGTGTGAATTTTCACCATCTGTAGATATCATATAACGGTGTCACTACCTCACTGAGCCTCCTGCTCTGAGTAATGGCCTCTAATGTACCTGAGAAAAAGTAGTTCCAGTAAAGAACTACTTTGCATAGAAAAACTATGCATTGGTTTTGTTAGGATATTTCAACAATAAAAAAATAAATGCAGGGGCTATGTCAGACCTGCTGTTGGTTCAGTGAAAGTGTTTGAATGTTTTGGGGACCTCTTCTTGCATCTGGCAGTCTGAGGACACATTGAAAGGCTAAAGTTTATAAAAATAAAATATTACCCAGAGGGAAGTTACAATTCAGTATTTGTTAACATTGCAAAATACAACAACAACTGAACACGGGTGAGAATTTTATTCTACTAATTTATCACAACACTAAATTATAGCAGAACAGTTCAGATCTGGAAACATGAAGTAAAACAAAGTCAGCTTTTCTTTTAAACCCAAAGAGGAGTATAGTTCATTCCTGCTTAATCAATAAAAAATGAGGAACAATATGCTGAATAGAATCCCTCTTAAACCAAAAATGTGTACTGCTTTTATGGTTTAGACATTCATCAAAATTTGCAACCTATAACAATTATGGAGAAGACTTTAAACATTTTAATAATCACAAATAGCTTAAATTATATGCTTGCTGCCAAATACAAGAAAACCTCAACCAAATATATTGGAATACAGCACCCTCCACAGTTACTGGCACCCCTGGTAAAAGTGGGGATAACCCTTGATAATGAACCCTATGTTGCAGCAGGATTGTGTATAGATGAATAATAATAATAATAATAAAAAAAAGATTTAAGAATAAATGCATTTTACTGTGAAGAACTGGGAATTCCTACAATTTCTATAAAACATGGGTTATTGAACCGTTTCCTTTTTATTTATATTTTACATTTTTATAACTTCCTGATTCCCTGAGATTAAAATATGATTTAACACAGACACCCATTTCTCTTAGCTAGTCATCAAAATGGAGAAAAACAAGATAATTCGAGTCGGACAAATGTTTGCTGTGTCTTTATAATTTATAAGCTAGAAAATAAATATCAATCTCTCCCTGTAGCTTTAATAAACAAAGCATTGTTCAACACAAAGAAAGAAAGAAACAATTCAGATATTCAGCTAGATCTAGCTGCACGCTTCCTCAATCATTCTGCTGTCTGCCTCTTTCTTGCCCCTCACCACCTAAACATCAACTCATGAACTCTGAGATTCCTAATCCTCTGTCATGCGGGAGACCTGTTCAGAAGGTGGAGATAATCATTACATCATGATGTATTGACGTGATGAGATCAGAGCTTTGATGTTTATTGAATGTATCCTAACTCTTTATTAACATACATTCAGTATGATACCAAGTCTTTTGAGGATTTTGATACATCCTAGGATGTAATTCACCTGCAAGACTGAGCCTCAGCAACTGGAGTTAGATATTCCTGTACTAAATGCTATACCTAAATATAAACCAGTTGTTTGGAAGGCATAACATGCAAAATTTCTTTCTTTTTTTGTAGATTACATTAACTTATTCTTCATAAAATATATGTTGTCTGAGTCTCCTTGAACCCCAGTCGTCCACAGCAGATGGCTGCTCACACTGAGCCTGGTTCTGCTGGATGTTTCTTCCTGTTAAAGAGAGTTTTTCCTCTCTACTGTCGCTACAAGCATGCTTAGAGTCAATGAGTCGATGCAATCAGCTGATTTGCCTTAGATAGAAAACTTTGGATCAGTCTGACTGTATGATCTTGTTGAATTGTCTCTGTAAAGTGCCTTTAGATGACATTTGTTGTGAATTGGTGCTATATAACTAACGGCTATTATTTTTGTTCAAAGCCAGGAATAGATTCTCACTGGAAAATATTCAAAAGCTATTTAAAAAAGAGGATGAATGTTTTAGCTTAAGGGACAAATGGGAATATAAAACCAGAAGAGAGAGCTTCTGTGGATCAGTATGTAGGGAGAAGCTGTGGAACAAGGCTGGAGACAAAGCAAACATAAAACGGTTTGTCATCACTAAGAATATAGAGAATAATTACTCAATTATTACTGGTTATATTATTGTCATTGTTATAGCCTTTGAAATTTGTATTATTTCTTCATTATGCTTGTTTATAATGACATGCAAATAGGAAGGCATTGTGCTATTTATAGATATAGAAAATAATTGTTCAGACTAAAATGTTATAACCAACAGTGTTAGGAACAGATAGGTTAATGTTGCTGTTGTAGGTTTAAGAAAAATCATACTTCTATTTACTTTACAATTTTTCTTTTTTGTTTTTTTTTATTCTTTTTTGTTTTGTTTTTATTTTTTTGTTAGATATTTTTTTCTTGTCTTTAAATAATTTTTTTTGGTTTTCTACATACATTCAACAATCCCAAACCAAGCCAAATCCTGAAATCACAGTGTTGCTAACTTTACTGGGACTTTATTTTGAACTATTTGCTTTGGTCAGAGAAGAATTTAATTAATGCTTTTTGCAAAAAAAAAAAAAAAAACCCTTGTGGAAAGTAAAATGAATTTTAGTAAGCAACCCATGCCTGCTGTTAAACACAGTGAAGGTTTTGTGTTGCTGTGGGCCTGGTTCTCTTCCTGCAACTCTGAGAATACATGAAATTATAAAATATTTAACATACAAGACAGGTGTGATAGATTAGAAATAATAGTAATAATAATAAAATCAAACTTCCTCCATGCATATTTCAATTCCTCAGACCTAAATGGAATTAAAAAAAACGAAGGGTGTGAGACGTAAAAAAGTGAACAAAAGAGAGAAAATGGGAAAAGTCAGGGAGATGCATAGTCTAAAAATAAAAAATAAAAATCTCTGTATGCTTGAAATATAATAATATAAAATAATAGCAGTAGCTGGTAATAAAGATAGTTAAATCATTGGATTTTCTTTCTACCAATTATATAAAATATAAAAAAAAACATTGGCAATTATTCAAAATTAAATCTTAAGCAAATTCATGGCTTTTTAGAGCTTTTTATAAAGGGTTCCAATAAATGTGGAGAGAGTTGTATTATTTTTTTCAGCATTCATATAAAATCTACAGAACATCCATTAGGAAAATATTCCTCCCATTTAAGTGGTAAAACAAAAATATTCTGAAGTCCGTTCTGCGTTAGACTTTTGGAACATTTCTCGCTTCTGTCTCCCAGCAGCTATTCCTGTCATCCACACCAGTGGACATTAATATAGGAAACTCTGCCGTCTCTCTTCTCTGTCTGTCTTCTTTCCAACCATCTCACTGCTTCCTCCAGCGGTTTTTTGGCTTCTCCTCGCACTCAGGACCCTTGCAGGTGCCAGTGGGAGACGGCAGGGGAGCTTTTTCAGACGTGGCTGCCTCTGAGCCCTTGGTGATGCTGCTGAGCAGAGCTGGAAGCTCATGTGAGATAGCCCTCTCAATCTTCTCCAGGAGGCAGCCGTCAGTCCAGCTGCAGAGCTGGGAGAGCTGCTTAAAGTTGGAGATGGGGTTAACCCCAAAGAAGTCCTGGTAAGCCTCCTTGTCAGGGAGGTCGAACTTGCTGACATTGGTCTTGGCCAGAATGGACTTGAAGATGTAGAACTTGTCGGGGTCATTCACAATGTCTTGGAAGACCTCGTGGGGGTCCCCGAACCAGCCCAGCTTGTCTTGGTAGGTGTGAAGGTAGCGGTCCACCAGCAAAGCGTGGATGCGTACACGGATGGCATGCTGGCGAATGAAGGCGATTTTGTTCTCTATCTGATTCTCAATCACCTGTAGAGGAAAAGAAATAAAGCAATCATAAAAAGTATGACTTCAAGATCCAGTAATGGACTGATGGCCTGTCCAGAGTAACCCCACATTTAGCTATTGGCAGCTGGAAAACCATGTATGGATTAACCGTGTAAGGATTAACCCTGTATGGATTAACCCTGTATGGATTAACCCTGTATGGATTAACCCTGTATGGATTAACCCTGTATGGATTAACCGTGTATGGATTAACCCTGTATGGATTAACCTCGTATGGATTAACCGTGTA